AGCCGACCACGCGGGGTGTCTGGGATTCCAGTGTGGCCCTGAGCCTTCCTCTTTTTGTTTGTTTGTTTTTCATCACGATTCCTGTTTGTGCAGTTCTGGGTGAGCTGGAACTGTAAACCAAGGTGGCCTTGAACACAGAGATCCACCTGCCTCTGCCTCCTGAATGCACAGTATTCAGGATTCCAGTGTAGCCCTGAGTCTCTCTCGTTTTTGTTTTTTGTTTTGTTGTTTTCTCAAGGCAGTTTCTCTCTGTGTAGCTCTCACTGTCCTAGAACTTCTCTTTTGATCCAGGCTGGCCTCAAACTCACAGAGATCCACTTGCCTCTGTCCTCTGAAGGCTTGGATTAAAGGTAAATGCCACGACTGCTTTCTCAGGTGAGCACAAAAACCATATCTTGGGTTGACATACCTCAGTTAACAGGAACAAGTAGTCAGAAGCAGAACTACAGAAGCCAAAAAGCAAGGTCAGTACATATAGAGAGGCTTTCCCAGAACTATGGACTTTGATGGACCAGGTCTTTGTTTTCATTTTGGCAGGTGGTGCTGTCTACATGCTGAGTTTTATGGCCTGAATGGTACTTCCGGCATGTAGTCAGTTGTGCTAAGGTCTGGAGGCCTGTCACAGGTATAGCATTGCCTCAGAGAACTTTTTGCTAGAATGAGTCTGCATCTAATCCAGCTTCCAGTTTATGGGAGACTCCGGGAAGAGAAGGGTACTGAATAACACCGCAAAGAAGCTGTCAGCCAAAACCAGAATGTAAACAATCACACAGGGCAAAGACCCACTTTATTTAAAACATAAATGATATGTGGCGTGTGGTGGCACAGGCCTATAATCCCCAAACTCAGAAAGCTGGGGCAGAAAGGGGCAGAGTTTGAGGCCGGCTTGGGGTTTGTAGCGACCCTCTGTTAAACACAAAATGAAAAAAAATAGGCTGAGTGTGTAAAGGCCACTTTGGGCTCACAGCCTGAGTTCAATCCCCAGGGCTCACATGGTCGAGAGAGTACCAACTCCTACACCTACATCTGAAAACAAATAAATGTAATAAGAAAGAGAACAAATTAAAAGAATAAAATAAACACAAGGATGGAGAATGGTTAGCGTTCTAAAGCCTAAAAAACATCAAATGAAGTTGGAATTCTATGTTTTTAAATTTACTTCCATTTTTATGTGTGTGGGTGTTTTGCCCGCACGTTTGTCAGTGCGCGACGTGTGTGCTGTGCCCACAAAAATCAGAGGAGGGGCCAGGCGTGGTGGCACACGCCTTTAAACCCAGCACTTGGGAGGCAAAGGCAGGCGGTTCTCTACCCTCAGCCAGCGCTGTAACACAGAGAAACAAACAAAACAAGGAAAGGACACCAGAGGAGCGTATCTGGAATTCTAGACGTGAGCTGGGTGCCGGGAGCTGAACGTGGGCCCACTGGGAGGGCAGCAAGTGCACTTAACCGCCGAGCTGCCTCTTGAGCACCTGAGTTTAACTCTCAGCGAGGCTAAGTGAAGCCCGGCGACACTCACCTGTAGCGTCAGCGCTTGGCATGTGGAAGCAGGAAGATCAAGGAGTTGAAGGCCGGCTGCAGTTACATGGAAGTCTGAGGCCAGCCTGAGCTACATGGGGATTTGTGTCACAACAGAGTGGGACTAGAGCAGCGGCTCTGGCTCTCAACGTCCCTGAAGCTTCTCCACCCTCCGCAGAGTTCCTCACGTTGTGGTGATGCCCGGCCATAAAACTCTTTTTGTTGCTACCAATAACTGTAATTTGACTACTGTTATGAATCATACTGTGAAATATTTGTTCTGTAAGATACCTGATATGTGAGCCCTGTGGAAAGCGTTCAGCCCCCAAAGGAGCAGCGGCCCACAGGCTGAGATCCAATGCTCAAGCCCTAGACACACGCACGACATACATACATGTAGGTAAACACATACACATAAAAATTTAAAATCTTTCCCACACACATGGGGACAGCAAACAAACACAAGAATAAATATAGTAAGGGAGATGTTTATAAGACCAGTGACATGGCTCACCGCCTACAGACGCTTGCCTCCAAGCCTGACGGCCCGGGTTTGATACCTGGAACCCACACACCAAAGAGAACAGAACAGAATTACACTAGTGTCATGGCAGGGGCTTACCCGCACCTTCCTCCAACACAGAATCAAACAAAGGTAAAAGAGTGAAACAGAATCCTTTAATGAGGCCATCAGGGAGACGTAAACACTAATCTGCCTGTTGTGATGGGTGTTGAAAATGAGTCCTAGAGTTTGTGACTTTTCAAAAGTAAACTTTGGCTGGGCTCGGTGACTCACATTCCGAAGCGAAGGGGACTGATGAAGGACCTCACTGCAGTGAAAGGCAGCCTGGGCTACATAGTGAGTTCCAGGTTAGCCAGAGCTGCACAGTGACACCCTGATTCAGAATAAAGTCAGGGGCTGGAGTGACGGCTCAGTGGTTGGGGGCGCTTGCTGCTCTTACATAGGGCAGGGGTTCAGTTCCCAGCTCCCAAGCTGGGAGACTCAACCCCAGCAACAGCAGTTCTGAGGGATCTGGCGCCCTCTTCTGGCCTCAGCAGACACCGGGCACATGTGCACACACACAGACATACAAAGAATACAGTTCCAGGACAGCCAGGGCTATATACTTGGATAACCTGTCTCAAACAGTAACAGTATAAAACTCATGAATTATACTCACCCAGTTATTAACTGAATCCCAGAATTTTCCATATTTCTTTTGTTTTGCAGTGTTGGTCATGGAATTCAAGGCCTCCTCATGCTAAGTCAACATTCTACCCCTGAGCCACACACCAGCCCCTCACTGGAAGATTCTAGGCAGGGGCTCTACCCCTGAGCCACACCCCACCCCCTCACTGGGAGATTCTAGGCAGGGGCTCTACCACTGAGCCACACCCCAACCCCTCACTGGGGGATTCTAGGCAGGGGCTCTACCACTGAGCCACACCCCAGCCCCTCACTGGGGAATTCTAGGCAGGGGCTCT